AATGAATATATTTTAAGTACTTGTAATAGGGCCTTGCACACAGTAAACGTCTGCTAGTGTATACTTAGCTTTTTCAGTACAATAAATACTAAATGCTTCCAAAAGATGCTATAAGCAATGTACCAATGAAAACAAAATTGTTGATATGTAGTATTACATTAGGATTGAGATCTTTCTGAAAATATTAAAAAACAAAGATGCAAATATGAAGATATTCGGAAAACCCATTCTTTCACTCTAGCTTAATCAGAGTACTAAGAGGAATGAATGACTTCACAGTCTTACCCATGTCAGGTCTTCTCACATCACTGACTTTAGCAGAGATACAAAATCCTATAAAAGACAGAAAATGGAAACATTACATACTAAAACATCTACTTCATATAAATAAAGAACAGGAAGTCACTCAGAAGTAACATTTATAGTCTCAGTGGAGAAAAACAGAAGGTGGTATGGAGAGTTAACTCGATGAGAAGATAATGGGAACTAAAACTATCCTGAGGTAGTTCCAAACATTCCTGCAACCTGTGCTATGCCAAACAGCAACTACTGGCAGAATGACAGAATATTAAAGCCAAGAATAAGTTGGGAGAGTCGATCATTTGGAGATTTGAGTTATCTGCATACAACCATGAAGTTAAAAGACTGCACTAAAATTACAATCCAGAAATTCTTCCCAATCCAGTTTCATTACCTCATGCAAAACCATTTTATAGATAAGTAATAAATCATAGTGGTCCTATTAAAGTTTCTTTTTCACACATTTTACTTGATAGCAAATACAGAGCTACTAGTAGGACAATCAAGGAATACTTCACAGTTATCTCCCCCATCATTAAAATGCTACAAATCAAAGTCCCTCTGCCTATATAAATTACTTTCTCCTCTGTTGTACATCCAGTTTCCCCAGAAAATGGAAGCTACAAAGCTTAAGTGCTTAGAATAAGGTTAATAAACAAACTCTTGGTGCACATGCTTCTTGGCAGGTTCCCAAAAGAAGACTAGTGATGCTAACAGACACATATACTCATTTAATCTTATCACCAAATTTTTAAAGAGATTGAGGACTTTGACAGCTACATAGCAATATCAGGGCTTGAACGCACTAAGACTGGATAATAATAGGTATCCTTTATAGTCACCGTAACAAAATGCACACAAAAAGACTGCTTGATGGTAAAACCATCATTATCCAAAAAAAAAAAAAAAAAAAAAGACAGAACATATTTGCAAATCACACATCTAACAAAGGGTTAATATCCAAAATACATAAAGAACTCATATGTGGGTTAGCTCCCTGGCCAGGGAGTACTTAGGCCATCATGGTGAGCCTTCAATGGAGGTGATAATGCTGAAACTTAACCCCTAGGCCACCAGGGAGCTCTGCTCCCCACTCTGTCTCTGGTGAATACTCTCACCCTCTCCCCACACTTCAGGCCTACACCCCAGTTCATCTATGCAAAAATGAATAAAATCTTAAAAAAAAAAACAAAACTCATATAACTCAACAACAAAACTGGATTAAAAAATGGGCAGAGGATCTGAATACACTTCTTCAAAGACAGATAATGATCAAATGAAAAGCTGTTTATCATCTCATTATTAGGGAAATGTAAATCAAAACCACAGTGTGCCATTACCTCACACCTGTGAGAATGACTACTCCCAAAACCATAAGAAATAAGTTTTGGAAAGGATGTGCATAAAAGGGAACCACTGCACACTGTTGGTGCGGATGTAAACTGGCGCAGCCATTATGGAAACAGGATGGAGAGTCCTCAAAAAATTAACAATCTCAAATGATGCAGTTATCCCACTTCTGGCTATTTACTCCCCCAAATACAAAATCACTAATTCAAAGAGATGTGCATCTCCGCGTTCATCACAGCATTGTTCACAACAGCCAACAGTTGGAAACAACCTAAGTGCCCATCAGTAGATGCCTGGATAAAGATGTGGTATACATGGACTACTATTTAACTTCTAAAAAGTTGAAATTTTGCCACAGGTAACAATATGGATGAAATTAAAGAGTATCATACTTAATAAAATAGGAGAAAGATAATGTGATTTCATTGATATTTGTCACAAGAAGAAATGAAACAAATGAAATATCTAAATAAAACAAACTTTTAAACTATAAAACCAAAGCAGTAGTTACCAGAAGGGAAAGGGGAAGGGAGGTGGGTAAACAGCGTAAAAGGGATCAATTGTACTGTGAATGATTGGTTACATAATAATGCAGTATATCTAAATGTTGATTTATAATGATGTACACTTGAACCCTATATAATGTTAAAAGTCAATGTACTTCAGTAAAAAAAAAAAAAATTAAAAAAAGAAAAAAGAATGCTTGCTTGAGTTTTCCATGGTACAGCTACACAGTAAACAGGGTAATCACCTGATAACTTAAGTCTTGTCAGGGAGATTCCAAAGAAATTAAGCCTCAGATTTAGGCTTCAAAAATGTTGGAAATGCTTAACAACAGGCTTCTACTTGGAAATTCTCCCAGTTCTTTCTTTTTTAATAAAGCAGAATTCCCTGGGTCCTTGCATAAGAAAAAAAGATTCTATCAACCAATAAACTACCAATAGACTTTTCATATTTCACTCTTTGAGGTCCTTTCATAATTGTCATCACTAGCCTATTTTGTTGTATTAAGCAGAATGCTAATTTAAAAGCCTAGTGCCCTGCAGAACCCCATGTTAACCTTGCATTGTTGAGTTAGATGTGAAAAGAGAAGGAAGCATGAAGCAAATAATCTTTCACCAAAATCACAAAAGTTCACATCCTTTAATATATCCTCATTAAAGGATTTCAATTTGTCAAGATAATTCCTAACCAACTCTGAGAGACCCATGCTGATTTATAATTTTAATAAATTCCCACATCTACATTTTAATACAAATAAATCCAGCTTCATCAGTGTGCTTATAGTACTTTCTTTTGTTCCTTTACAATAACATTGGAAGAGACATTAAATTAATGCCACCAAAGTGTCTCAAGTATAAACATTTTTTTCTTTAAGAAAAGTATTCAAATAACTCACTTCCTAATTCACACTGGTCATTTAATTTGCTAAAAAAAACATAAGTAGTTATAGGTTCTCAGGTGAAGTCAAGTTAGGTAGAAAGAAATAAGAAATCTGAAAGAAAAAAAAAGATAGCTGACTTAACAGGATGTAACAAAAGTGATAAAACATTAAGAAGCTTACATACATGAGAAGAGGTGATTTATAAAAGAGAATGTTTAGAGCTATGATGTTACTAGAAAATATATATTTGAGAGGCTTGTGCAATTAGATTTAGCCAGGAACAAGATGTGGTTAGAATAATTTATGATGTAAGAAGGGTATGGAAGTGACCTTGTGAATCATCCCACTCTGAAAACAATTATGTGTATGACACAGCTTACATTACATTCATCAAGTATTTGTTTTTCATATTTATATGTAATTTCTCCCAATTAGATTCTAAGATGTTAAACACTATGTATTCAACTTCTTTCACACACCCTGTGTACCAACTAGATCAGGATACCGGGGATACAAATATGAATAAAAACCAATCTCTCCTGCGTTTAAGTTCACTGTCTACTATGGGAAGCCACATTCATAAAGACAACACGGCAAGACAATAAAGCTGCTGCAACTGGTAGGAGGTGTGGGAGTCAAGGGAAGAAAAAGGCTTTCAAAGCAGTAGTCAAGAGTTACATCACCTGCGTCTGAAGTAACAAAACCTGTTTTTGAATCCAATTGCTCTCTCTAGATTGAACTCATTAGATAGGTGATATGAGTTAAGACTATCTTTGAAATCAGGCTAATTAATCGGAAGCAGGTAAAAATGAATGAGACATCTTAACACAGAAACAAATGAAGTTTCCATAATGGGACAAGAGGGGAGAAAGGAAGGGAATTTTTAAATTGGAAGAACAGTAAGGGGTCAGGCTTCAAGAGCCCTAAGTCAAATAGTTGGCAGCCTACAAAAAAAAGCGTTATATTAACAAGAATCACCACCATCCCAAATATAGTAACTGTGCCAAAAGTGAAGTGAAATAACTTTAACGAGACTGACTTCCAAGTGATAAAGAAGCGTTATTGCCAACAAGATAATGGAAACACTGCAGAGGCACCGATAAACAGAAATCACCAAAGTAAAGAGAAACTGGGCATATATCCTGTGAGACCACGCTGGGGAACATCAAGAGCGAAACAGTTCAAGGGAATTACCAGGAGGCGATGAGACAGGTAAGCAAACTGTGGCAGTTAAGGGGATTTTCATAACCTGGGCAGGAAGGTCCAGACGTTTCTCTCAGGTGGTGGCACTAGCGATATCACGCTCAGAGAGAGATCACACAGGAAAAGAGTTCAAAGAAATGTTTACGTGAGACGCAGAAGTGGTCGAGAAATATTCAGGTCTCAAGGAAGGCGGGAGGTGAAGCAGGTGTAACAGAAAGCTGAGCTTCCCGTTGAAATCAGCTTTCCCTTGAGAGAAGACCCTGTTCTGGCGGGAAAGCCCCGAAATCCCAACCGGTCTTTTCCCCGCACGCAGGGCAGGGCGCTGAGCCCGGGCCTGTCGCGACGGCCGGGGGACGGCCTCGCCACCACTCAGGATAAAGAGGCCTGAAGGAACGGCCTCTAGAAGCCTAACTAACGGCCGCCGGCGGACAGCAGGGGGGAGGGGAGGTGGTCCCAGGGGGCGGGGCAGAGGAAAAAGGACCGTCCCCACCGCCGTCCCCGCTTCCGCCCAGCCCAGCCCAAGCTGCCCGTCCCGGACCCGCACTGCCTCCCGGCCCGGGCTCCCTCCATCCTCACCCCTCCCCCAGCTTCCCGCCGCCACTCACCGAACCGGAACCGGCTGCTAAGCGAAGGGGTTTCCGGCCGGGCGCGGAACGCAAAACCCGGGAACCGCCACGAACCGGAACCGCCTCCACTATACCGGAAGAGCCTTTCGGTGGCTGGGGAGGATGGGGTGGGGCTGGAGGTCAAAGAGCAGAGTTAAAGAGCCACGTAACGCCTGCGCAGTGTGGCAAGGCCTGAGACACCAGGGGAATCGCGAAAGCTGTAGTTCTAATTCCCCTGATCCCCAGTTTGGGCTTGTCCTGGTCCTCGGAATACTGTTAGCGTGCGCTCCGTCCTTCGTTTTTCTCGGTTCCCTCGACCCGCGTAACCGCAGTCTTCTGGTTCCGCTTGGAGATTTTTGCTTATACTCGGGTTTCCATGGCAGCTCGTCCCTGTTGCACTGAATCTGTGGGGGGATCTGTGACCGCTTCGACGGAAACTTGAGAGCTAAATCGAGCTCAGGCATTTTGTGCTTTATTGAGAATCCTAGAACGTTAGTGCTTATTGAAGTTTTGGGAGATGTTTAACAGGTTCAGGGAAGTCATTTCTCAAAGTTAATATCAGATCTAAGACCAGGAAACAAATTTCTTAACTTACTGTCCTGTACTTTTTGTACCACATTATGTTTGTCCATTGGGGAAAATAAAAGCAGAAATAATAAGCAGTTTGGAATTGCTGAAGGTTAGACTCTGAAACTTACAGGACCTTCCAAAAACTCGGAGAGGTGTGAGGAAAGCTATTGAGAGTCCACCAGTCTACTTTTCCAAGTAAAAACAAGAAAGGACCCAGAAGTCTGACGTGTAAAGTGCTAAATGATCCTGGTGTTCCTGGGACTTTATTTGATTAACCTATAATCTGTATGCTACCTTTAAAGAGAAAATAATGGGGGGAGGGCTCAGGGCTGAGGGGGATGTTTGTTAACCAAGCCTCTCAGCTTGGTGAACCTTTGGGCCCAGACCCCAGACAGGATGCGTGGAGAAATGCTTCTGAATAACCACTATGGACCCAGATGGCCCAGGGTCTGAATTCAGACTTTCTAATGGAAGCCTCTGGAGACCACCTACCCTTTAGATCCCTTCAGCAACTGAGCAAAGATGCTTACCCTGTTAATGTAAAAAAGTAGATTATTTGTATCGTTTTTCATATGCCAACATAAGGTCAGATTCTAAAGCCTACTGGTATTGAGCATACGTGATCCATGTCAGTTTTGTCCACTTTAACCATTCCACAGATTTGTTCATTTGGATTAAATTCTGTGTCTATTTCTAGGAGACAGCCATGCATAGAGAAGAATTTCATCTGAAATTTTTCATGTGTGTGATTCAATCTCGGCAGTTAGTCAGCACTCCTCAGAGAACAGGTACCATTGTCTCCTGATCATCCTCCAGTGACAAAATGGGTTCTTTTGCAGGGAGTGTCAGTATAGGATGTGAGATTTAAGTGTAAATATAGGTTTTTGAGGTCAACTGACCTTACTCATTCCATCTCCATTATGATAAAATGTTTGTCACTGAGTCATGTCTTTTTCTTATACAAGTATCAAGTGAGAGTTTGACCTGGAATGTAGGGATCGGCCCCAGGTAAATAAGAACTTGGGAGATGAGGGAGAGCAAGATTTGTATCCCATCAGCTGGTAGTTGATTTCTTTGTACTTTGTGAATTATTTCAACTTTTTCAGAGTCAACTGTGGGAGTCCTTGATACCATTGTAATTGACATTAAACCTTTAAGATAGAGTCCTAAAGAAAAATGGAATGCTCTTCCACCTCATTTATGTCAAAAGAGTAGAACTTTTTTTTAAAGATTTATTTATTTATTTTATACAAGAACTGGGGTAAAGGCCAGATGCGCAGGAGGGTGAGAGGATTCACCAGAGACAGAGTGGGAAACAGAACAGGCAGACTGACGAAATACACTGCTGAGGGGAGCAGCGGGAGAGACAGGAGAGGTCTGCTTGCTATTTGGGACCCTCACTGGCCGCCTGGCTGGGATCCAACCGGTGCTGCAGAGGCTGCAGACAGCTTCACAGCACTGCGCTCAACCGCCTGCGCCCCCAGGGAAGGCCCAAGAGTAGAACATTTTTGAGCTAAGATAGTTGTTGAGAAAAATCATCACTTCTCTAATTTTTCACTGGATTTATGAGGGGAAAGACCCTGGACAGTTGGGAGACAGAAAAAAATGAAAGTGAATAAGGAACACTCCCTTGCCTCAGTCCTACTTTGAGGATGACCTAAAGATATTGCTTCTCAGCTGGGGAAGCTTCAACTTCCAGCATACAGAAGCCACCACCAGACACAGATGTCTTGAAGAGTATATACACTGTGGATGATGCAGATACCATGGAAGGCATACCTATTGTGAAACATGGTGAGGCATGTGGTTAAACAAGGGGGAGGAATGTGGAAAGAAGTATTGGGAAGTTTATGCATAGCATTGAAATTAACACAGACCTTCCAAATTTGAGATATGAATTAATATACAAAGAATAATGGTGGGGGGGTGCAGAAAAAGGGAGGAGTTGGAGATCATCTGGGAAACTAAAAAAGAGGGACCGTTCTCTCTATAAAGGATAACCTGATTTAGTCAATAGTAAGTTGATTGGCTTCCTCATAACTAAACTACTAATCTGATTTATCCTATTACTAGCAACCTTGATATATAAAAAATCTGAAACATAAAAATGTATAAAATTAACAATGTAGTATATTACAAGTTATTCCAAATATTGTAAAAAATCATCTTATTAATCCATTTAAAAAATTTCTTTTTAAGTATTATATAGTATTCAACTTATAAATAATATATATGAAACCTTCAAAACACCTCTGTGTTTCTTCACAACTTAAATATATCTATGTTGGGGTCAGTTTACTGCAAACATTTATTGAGTTCCTACTATGTGCCCAATCACTTACTAGAAATTATAGAGAGATTGTCTTATTATTGTCCCATAGCTTTCAGTTTGAAGATGCCTTAGAAATAATTTAGTCCAATTCCTTACATTTTCAGAAGGAATCTGGGACTAAAGAAGTTTTTCCTAAAGAAATTAACAAATCTGTTGGAGTAATCACCCCTAGCACCTATGTAATATGTACCAGTATCTATTTAATAATATTTTGAATGTTTACTATTTGGAGTCATTATGCTAAGCTTAGTAGGAGATGGAAAAAACGAGCTTGATGCTTTCCCTGTCCCTCAGGAGCTGATGATCCAGGAGGGACCTAATATGGCAATGTGTAAGTTAAGAGCTTGTAAGTTAAGCGCTTGACAAAATGTTGCATTTCATAAGAAGGTGCCATAGAGTTGTAGGGAAGGGAGGGGCTCGCTGACTGCTCAGGCAGAGCTTCACCAAGCTGCAGCACATAGGCAGGGCGCTGTGGTGCTAATCCAGTTGTAAGCTTTGAAATGGCAAAAGCTCTAACTTAGTCTTGTCAGTATACCCAGAGTTACTCAAACTCTCAAGAAAATTATTTGTGTTCAAGAATACCAATTTATTCCAATTAAATTAGTATCTATCTATGGCAAACATTTGTAGTGTGTGTCCCTTTAATCACACTTGTTTTGCCCATGCATCAAAAACTATTAGGTACTAGATAGAAGCCCAACCAGTGAACTTGTCCTATAGTTTCTTCAATTTTTATAGAGTATTTCATATTTCCCCCCATCTTTTCCTGCTTTTCCTATCATTTTGTTCTATACCTACTCATCTCAGACCACCTTGGCTCTGATGACCCATTTGAACCTGCTCCTGTAGTTTGAACTCAGCGTTATCCCATGGACAAAATTCTAATATTCGCCTTCTACCTTTTAGCATTAAGGTTTTAGGTAAGAGCCACTCATAACTTTTTCAGCTTTCCCAGTAGAGATAGAGAATCAGATATCTTCCCATTTAGCCCAATTGGGGGCCCTTCATCTCTCTTTCCCCCCCTTCCTTCTTTCTTTCCTTCCATCTGTCTCCTCCCATTTGTGCCTTCTGCTTAACCCCCTTACTTCTCTTCCTCCTCCTTTTCATTCCTTCCAAGAAAATTTGTTAAGCACATACTATGTCAGGCACTGTACATGGCAGTAGGAATAAAGTAATAAACAGAATAGGTGTATTGCCTGCCCACATGAAGCTTATAGTCATGTTTTGTGGGTCTGCTAGACTTAAGTGGCCTGATCAGCCACCATTATGGTTACCTGAAGCTCTGCATTGCCTTTAAAAGCTGCCTTTAGATAGAAAATTGATTGGAGAGGTTTCCCCCCTGAGGTTGGGGGTTTGGAAGGCTGGTCTGAGGCCACATTGTTTGAGACATCCATAGAGCTTCCATTTATGACATCCATACAGGAAGCTGGTTGGGGATATGTGCTGGAGCCTGATAACTGCCCTGATTTGTTTGAGGGGCGCGCTAGCTCACGCTCCTCCACCCGTTTTCTGAAATTGGACGACCATCTTGGGTGAATTTAGACCTTCAGTCAATTGCCCAATGAAAACCTCGCTGACAACAGGGACATTTGGTTTTTGGTTTTCCCATTCTAGGAGCTTCACCTGAATTTGTATTGGGACAATATTTATGAAAATGACCCCTTCGGCAAAACTTATAGCAAGGAGCTGTCATTTGTAAAGCAGAGGCCAAGACCAGAGCATTACTGTTTCTGTTCCAATATCCTGGCAAGCCCGCAGCATTTCTGCAATGGTATGAGGCTTGCCCACTATGTAAACTAGCACCCTTTTGCATTCAGTATTAGCATTTTCATAAGCCAACTATAATGTTAAAACCTGTTTTGCTTGTGTATTGTCAACTTGGCGATTTATTGCCCTCTGGAGATGGTCTATGAATTGCTGATACGAGGCTTCTTGCCTGATAGTGATGAAGGAGCCCTCCGGGGTAGTGTCATCAGGAACTCGAGCCCAGGCCCGAACAGCTGCATCTGATATCTGGGTATATGCTCTCTCATCTAAATGTAATTGATCTTGTACAGTGGCACATATGCCCTTGCCTAAAAGCATTTCCAGTGTGATAGGAATATCCTCTGCTGCATTATGGCGTGCCTGTATTTCTAAAAAAATCCCTCAATTCTTGATATCACAAGGTATATTATGGTGCACTGAAAACTGTTTTTAACAATAGTTTCCACTCTCATGGTGTCATTTGATTATTGCCACCTATTCCTTCAATGATTCCTCTTGTAAAAGAACATGAGATTCCAGGACTTCCTTCTCCTTAGTGGTGCAGGGGGTTGAGTGCAGCGCTGTGAGGCTGTCCGCAGCCTCTGCAGCATGAGTTCGATTCCTGGCCTGCCAGGGAGCAACCCACATGGCACGGCAGACCCCTCCTGTCTCACCTGCTGCTCCCCTCAGCAGCGTATTTCAGTACATCTGCCTATTCTGCTCCTTGCTCCGTCTCTGGTGAATTCTCTCACACTCCCATGCCTCTGACTATACCCCTGTTCTTGTATAAATAAAGAAATCTTAAAAAAAGAAAATGAGATTCTGTTGTCACAGATGCTGGATCTTAATTCTTTAAAAATAGAAAACGGGATACTATCATGGGTCACATGACCTCTTTTTACCTTAACAGGAAATGCAAAATGTCCCTCTTTTTTATGGCCTCCTCTAAGCATTTTTTCAACTAAGGTTAACTGACAAGGATCCTGAGAACCCTGTGGGTTGGAATGAGTCGTAAGAGACTCATGTCCTTTAAGAAGTGCTTTAAGAATCTCTTGAAATTTATCAGAGATTTCAGTGGAGGGCACCTGCCATGGTCCTGATCTTATCAACAAGGCATTCCACTGATTAGCTTCTGGAGTCCCTTGTCATACATCGGTCCTCTGCCCCACGTGCATTCCTGGTCATACCTTGTGATGTATGAGTCGGGAATAAGTTTATGCATTCGTCCTCAGCCCCTGGGCATTCCCGGTCATACCTCTTGATGCATACCCTTCCCAGAATGATCAAGCTTTCTGCTCTTGATTGATATGAATGCATAACTGCAGGTAACCATAATGGTGGCTGACACTTGTTGCACTGGGCAACAATGTTTGCCTGCCCTTGTGAAGCTTATAGTGGGAATAAGACAATAATCACATACCCATACATGGTTGTGTGGTTAGAATGATGCCACCGCAGTGAAGGAAAATAATACCATGTAATCAGAGTATAAGACAGAGGTCCTAACCTGGCTTGAAAAGTCAGAAAACCCTTCCTCAGGAAGACTTGAGAGATGAGTGAGCATTAGCCAGGCAAAGGAGGAACAAAAGCATTCTGGAAAAAGGAATAGTAGACTCTGAAAGGTGAAGGAATTTGACTCATTGTAGTGGAGTGGGCCAGTAAAAGAGAAGCTGGAGAGGGAGCTATAAATATAGTATAAGAGACAAATAATGTTAATTAAATAAGCCTTTTAGGTTTTAACACTCTTGAACTATGGGAAATCTCTGATGAGTGAAGAGATTATATTTGTGTTCTAAAAAATCATTTTGGCTCTGGTGGGAGGGATAATACCATTGCCTTTATCCATTCTTCATGTCTAGACAATGAAGCCCTCTAGGGTATGAGTGAGGAAATCATGCAATCAAATAATATAGCTGCCTGGGATGAATCCTGGCTTAATGTCTCTGTGCTGCTGCTGCCAGCCCTGAAAAATTCACAGGAACTCCCTCTAGAATGTTCTGACTCTTGCTCTCAGAGGATCTATATACAGAGATGCTATGCTAAACTCTCATCCTCAAGAAAAATGGAATGCATTTTGTATCTAGTTTCACACCTGGCAGGAAAGAGCTACAATTGCTATTGCTATTTTCTCCAATTCCCTGCCCATAAGTATATACAGCTCTGCATACAGTATAATGAGGCAGGCTGTGTGTGTGTGTGTGTGTGTGTGTGTGTGTGTGTGTGTGTGTGTGTCTAGTCTCTAGAGGATTAGTTCCCAATGTCAGGAAGCCTGCATTTGGAGACAGCTAGAGAATGAGTCACTTAGGCCTCACCCTTTACCTTTATGTTCTGGCACCTAGACTTTGTAAAGAAAGATGGTTAGCATTCCCAAAGAGCTGCTAGTGTGGGACAACTACCTCCAGGAAAAAGGCTGAGAGGCAGCAAGTAGTTTTCTGGGCCAGGTTCTAGTCTAGCAGATCCACCAGCCCACTCCACCAAAAGTCTTCCCTGTGCATAAGCCTCTCCTGTTCACTAATGACTGCCTGCCTTGATCACCAGTGACTGCTGAGACTACTTATTGGGCTACAAGAGGGAGAGCATGCTATACCCATCTGTCCCATATGTCAAAGCTTTCCCTGAAGCATAATCCCTTTCTCTCATATTCTTCATTTCTTTTTTTTTTAAGATTTATTTATTTATGCATACAAGAGCTAGGGTACAGGCCAGAGGTGTGGGA